TGTGTAGGATAGCATGGTTTAAGGGGGCACAAACCCAGTTCTCCTGACTCAGATTGAGGCTTTGGGCAAGTTACTTAAGTCTGCTGTATCTCAGTGTTTTCATCTGCAAGACAGACATTATAGTAACAGTCCCTTCCTCACCACACTGTCACTACGACGAGATGGCGTCGTGTATAGGAAGTATGTAGGACACTGCCTGGCCCTGGGCCATTGTGATGGTGGGGCAGTGGTGCTTCCATGGTGTAAAAGTCTGCATCTTCCATGCACGCACTTTGGGTTCCATTCCTGACCAACGAACGTTCTCTCTGCACGTCCTCTGTCTGTCACTGGAGACTTGTGTGTTTGCAACGGTGCTGAGGGGGTTCCAGCCAAGCTGTCAGATGAAGGCCGACTAGAAAGAAGACCGGGTGATCTACTTCTACAACTGGACCCATGAAAGCCAAATGGGTTTCTGTCCACAGGATCGGCATGAGCCAGGGGCTAGCTGGTGACAGTGCTCGACAACACCACGAGTGCCTAGTGATTAACAGACAAGGACTCTGGAGGGTGCAGGCCTGGCCTGACTGCCAGGAATGAAACCCCCAAGTGGCATGTGTCGCTACCTGAGAGTCTGAGAGACCGAGCCCCCTGAGTGCAGGAGCCAGGTATGGCTTCCATCACCTGTCTCCCCAGTCCCTAAAGTGTGGCTGAGGCTTAGTGCATATTTTCAGAGTGAATGAAAAAGCACAGAGCCGGGAAGAAGCCTGGAAAATAGAAAGAGAAAATAAACTCTTCTGGGTACACTCCTGACGCCAGCATCTGCCAGGTCACACCGTACTTGGCGCCCTCTGTTCATTCATTTACATGCCACCTCTCAGCACAGACCAGTGATGAACCCTTGTTTGCGCTTAGAAAGAGAGGGTGAGGACATGCCAGACAGGCAACCGGCATCAATTTTCTTCTAAGCATGAGAGCTGCTGGTGTTCAGATGTCAACACCACCCTCCCCCAGGCACCAGCCTGCTCCTGCTGTCCCTGGGGCTGTGCCTAAATGCTGGTCAGTGCCAGGTCTCTCAGGAAGGTCCAGGGTTTGAGGGACTAACCTTGTTCCAGGAAAAGATACTGTGAAACATTGAACAGGCACCGTGGTATTAGCGCCCAGTCTTAGTCCGGAAAATGAACATTGTGGGCACGGAAAGTGTGGAATAAGACCTAGCTCAGCCTTCGATGAGGAGAATCGAGGTGGCTGGGAGCTTAGTCCTGGGACGCAGGTCTAATCATGGCCTCGTGGGGTTCCCCACAACTGCAGATCAAGTCTATGGTTCTCAGCCCTTGCCCATCTCTGATGCATCAACATTGCACCCCCTAGAAAAAGAACACACCCCAATTTTATCTCACTAGCTACAGTTCCCGGGCAATCACGTTTCAGTGCCTCCAAACGAGCTCTTCCCAGCACCCGGGATCTGGAAAACCCTTATGGATCCAACCATCACTAGATCCATCTCAAGGCTGCCTCCTCTGGGAAGCCTTCTGTTACCAATCCAAGTACCATTAGCCTCTCCCTCCTCTGTCTACATTGCCAGAGGACCCAGTAAACAAGGTAAGCACAGGCTTACGCTAGCTTACTTAATAATCGGTAGCGAACACGTTCACATTTTCAAAGATTTCTGCTTGTGGGTGTGGCAGGCATCTGTCTCTCCCCACCTCCCAGCATCTTCGTAGAGAAGCAAGACCTGGCAGGGACAATTACCTGGTGAGTGCAGTAAACATGGGCTTCCTTTTGCTTGCACGCTAATCTGTTGGGAACAACCTTTCGTGAGTTTCACCATATCATGAACCCATGTGAAATTGTTCACTACCAATTAGGAGGTTTGTACATTCATTGTCCTCAAAAACCTGCAGCGCAAGACACAAGGCTAGTAGCTCAATGAAGCCGGACGGATTAAGACGTCATACAGCATTCGTTTACCAAAGCTTTTCCAAGGGCCAACTGCATGCCCAGCATAGGTGTAGGTGCTGGACGAGAGCAGTGGACAAATTTTACAAAGTTACAGCGCCTGTCAACCTTTTGGCAAGTAGCATTTATATCAATCAGCCATCGAAACTAGACCCTGGCGGCATGGAGCCCTGCCGGGACAGTGTTAGATGCTCCACTACTAATTCACAGGTCAGCAGTTTGAAGCCGCTGGGAAGAGGCCTCCTGCAGCCAGCCCCTGGGAGCTGACAGCCATGAGCACCCTATGACGCTGTTCCACTCTGCCTCTCGGGCCACTGTGAGCGAGAAGGGAGTCCACAGGACAAACAGGACACACGTGTTAAACTTGCGCTCACTGAGGGTGGCATGTCTATTTCTCCCGTGTCTCCATTGAGCACCAGTGACTCTGCCAGGCCCTGTTTCAGGTGTTCAGTCTGCAAGGGGGTGAACGCACAGGATCCCCCCAACTCCACCTCAAGGAGAGGAGACCCCCCTGATGTCGTCCTGGGAAAGACAGACAACAGAGAAGTAATATGGGACACGAGACCAGGGTAAATGGAGGGCTGTGAAGAAATACAAAACGGGATTTTAAGGGTGATGTGAGGAGGAGGAGGAGGAGGAGGAAGCTGTTTCATCTGGTGGGCAGGCCTGAAGAGGTGCCTTTCGGCAGAGACCTGAGCAAAGTCAGCGGGGAAGTTACTCAAGTTAAGCAAATATATCTTATAGTGTATTAGTAATCTTTAAACTCCTGACCTCGGTTGTCAGTTCCAACTCAGGGCAGCCTCATCCCTTTCAGAGTAGATCTGTGGATCTACTTCCATCGCCATGGATTTGCGAAGGCGATGGCCGGGACTTTCTTCTGAGACACCTCTGGGGGAAGACAAACGGCCAACACCTAAGTTAACAGCCCGGCACTTAACCATCTGCTCTCCTTCCATAATAATATCAAAAATCGACTGCCATATAGTCTGTTCCAGTGCACAGCAGCCCTGAGTGGGGTTTGTGAAACTGAGATGCTTTACAGGAGCAGACAGCCTCCCCCTCTCCTGGGGGTTGGCTGTAGGGGTCGACCTGCCCACCTGCTGTCTAGCAGCCCACTGTCTGACCCCGGGTGCACCAGGCTTCCTGTAGTAATGATAGAGCCCGTGTGCTCTACCCACTATGTGCCAGGGACTTTGCCCGTATTATCTCACATAACCCTCCTGAAAATACTACCGCACATGTCTTAGGACTTCCAGAAAAGGAAGCTCAAAAAGGTTAAGGCCAAGCCAGTCATTGCCAGAATCTGGACTCAAGTCACCCGAGAGAGCTTGAGCACCCTGCCTCCCACCTCGTTGGTTATTAATGTACCCCAAGTGCTCAGCATAGTTATGTATATGGAATACAAATGATGTATATATTTATATGCACAGTGTACATCATGTAAACATGCATTTAACATAAAGCAGTGCCCCAACGTGCCTGCACAATTGTTTGAAATCACACATGCTGTGCTGGGTTTGCCACCAAGAGTAAAGTCCTGAATTGATGACATTTCATTAAGCTTCGAAGACATCAGTCCTGCTCTGCAGTGACGCAGGTGAGCATTTTAAAGCATTTAGAGGAGAGGGACATGGGCCGGAGGCCTCTCTCAAGAGGGAACATGTTTGGGGTGCGCTTCCTGCCCCAGCATGCGTCATTTGGTTCTCACAGAAACGCCGTTAGACAGGCACGGCAAGCATTGCTGTGCATGTTTTATAGAAATGGAAACCAAGACACTCAACCATCAAGTGGCCTAGTCACAGTCACCAGCTGGCCAGCAGCCCCCTCGTCCCTCCCTCATGCTGTGCTAAGGTCACTCAATTCTTTCCCACTTCGTTTGTGTTCCCAGTGTTCCCGTCGTTATAAACACGTGCTTGCCTTCACACGCATGCGCAATGGTCTTACGTCTCGCTTCCCAGGCTCAACCCAGGTTTCCCGGCCACTGGATGGCTTGACTCTTCCGTCTCCATTCTGCATGTCTGACCTCACTGCCGAAGGCAGATCTCGGTGTCCATTATCTTAGGAGGAAGTCCTCCCCCGAGAGGCCCCGGTGCTGCGTGCGGGAAAGCCAGCGGCCGTGGATCCTCACTGACCGCACTCTGTCCCCCACGCAGACATAGATGAGTGCGCCAGCCCTCCGTACTGCCACCAGAGATGTGTGAACACGCCGGGCTCCTTTTACTGCCAGTGCAGCCCTGGGTTCCAGTTGGCAGCAAACAACTACACCTGCGTAGGTAAGCCTGTCAGGAACCGCCCTCCTGCCCACAGAGGCAACCCGTGCCACGTGGCAGAACCTCCCGCTGTCTCTGTTCTCAGGTGAGCTGGGTTTTGTCAGCTTTCATTAGGCAAACCATGAAGCTGAACAGACAATAACCGACCTGTTTTGTAAAACATATCAAGATGTGAATGGAAAAGCTTTTTTTTAACTGCGGTTTTTAGCAGTCCTCTGTGGGTGTATTCAAGAAACTTAATTAAAAACACAAACAGAGAAATAAAACAACCTTGCAGATCAATCGATACCCACACACCAGTTAGTCAACAGTGTGTGACAGAAAAGCTGGAGGTGCCAAAGGGGTGAGTGCGAGGTCATGGGCAGACACCGCCCCTGAGAGCACACCTAATGGGCGCAGGCTGCTCCGCTCTGCCCTGCTAGCTGGCCATGGCACCGCACGCAGGCCTCAAGGTTGGCTTGACGTGGAGAGAATCCAGCGCGGGGGAAGAAACAATGCCTTTTATCAGCACACACAGTGTCTCAGAATTGCAAACTCCGCATGAGACTCAAAGGCTCATGTTATCATTGTAATGGAATTCAACAGCGCCCATTTAAAAAGTAATAAATAGCACAGATAAATCTTCACTACAACATGCTGAGAGACCCTATCAGTATGTGTGTCTTCTACCAGTAATTTATAGGCTTGGCATTTTTTTATCCGAATAGCAACAACAACAACAACTCAAAGAGAGGGAGAAAGAAAAAAGACAGTGGAATGCACATTTATTAGAAGCATTAAATTATCTTGGGAAGGTTCATTAAACATCAAGATAAATGTCATGCCTAGAAAAAAATCTGTTGTGGTATTTTCAAAAGAAGTATTACATGTGTTTGAAGTTTCTCACAAATCTGAAACCTGAATGAGCGTTCTCCAGTGAGCTTCTGCGGGGTCAAGAATTCAGCTGGGAATGGCTCCGTTATCAGTACAAAAGAGCAAAGCTCTGTTTGAAGCTGTGTGTGTGTGTGTGTGTGTGTGTGTAACCTTCCCTTTCAGACATAAATGAATGTGATGCCAGCAACCAATGTGCTCAGCAGTGCTACAACATCCTTGGCTCGTTCATCTGTCAGTGCCACCAAGGCTACGAGCTGAGCAGTGACCGGCTGAGCTGCGAAGGTAAGCGGTTCCCAGCCATGTGAATAAAGGGCGGGGGTAGGAAGTGGTCCAGTGCTTGCTGTTGTTTTATACGATGGCGCACCTTTGGGGGAAGGCAAACTGTGATTCATGGAAGTTCTGTTTTGTACCCCAGTGAGGCATTTCCAGCATTTGCTTTTTCCATCTGCTCCCCCCAAAAAAGGGAAGAAGCAAGATGAACATACACTTTTAAATGAAGTATTAGCTGTGGTGAAGGCCTCTCCTTAGAAGGGGGGCTTAGGGCCTCCCTTCTCAAAGTGTGATCCGAAAGACTAATCGTATCAGCACCTCCGGGGGGGCTTGAAAGAAACGCAGAGCCATGGGTAAAATCCCGCAGTCAGAATCTGCAGGTTCCCAAGCTTTCTGGCTGAGCAGCTACTCCCATTGTGGGTGTTAAGTGCTGTCGACTCAGCTCCGCCGTGCAACCGAACCAAACACTGCCCGATCCTGCCCAACCGTAGAAGTGTCGTTACCTCAGGCCCCGTCTTGTAGCTAGGTGTGCACATTCACGTGTGAGAAGGACTGATTGCACGTCAAGACATTGAAATTGAAACCGAGAGATCTGGCCCCATGGCTAATTCCTGCCATTGAGTGACTTGGCTACATGTCTGCCTTAAGCTACTTGGGTCTCACTCTGCACTTGAGTAGGAAGCGGCCCATTCAACTGGATGGAAGACCTGTAGAATCCGTTGCATGGGCAAGTTGCACTGTGTAACCCAAAGAGTGTGACACTCCTGAGAGAGATTCCATTGACACTTGACTTCCCTGACTTCCTTAGGACCCTCCCAGCTTTCCTTGCGGTCACAAAGGTCAGACCCCACCCGGAGCGGCCTCACATCATGCTCTTGTGCTCAAAATCAAAACAGGGCTGGCTCAGAACAGCTGCCTCTGCCCTTCTGAGCAAACTAGAGGGACATCACCATTCAGAAATGCAAAGCAAGTGGCCCCTTGAGGCCAGACCTTGCCAAAACGTCACCCTCTCTGGATGTTAGCACAGGGATGCGACTTAGAGTTCAAAGCCCCCATGAACAGGGCAGCAAGAGCCACCCAATTCCTGAGGCAGCAAAAATGGATCTGCACCATGGGTGGGTCTGCAGAGCACAAGGCGGAGAATGCGGGCCACAAACCAACTCATTCAATCTGTTACTCAGGGAAGGCGAGGCCCGCGATTAGCCAGACTGTCAGAAATGATTCAGTAGAAGCGATGGCAACGAGAACTCTTTGTGCTGTGACAGCATAGAGGAGATGAGCCGATACTGTTAGAATTTCTCCCTGGTGCTTTCATAAGGCGCGGTAACTCTATTTCAGAGTTTGTGATCTTGTGACCCTCTGTAGCTTTGCTTTGCTCACCAAAGGAGTGATGTACAAGATTTTCAGCTCTGCGTCCTTGCTCTTGCCCCACCCAACAGACATCGATGAGTGCCGAACCTCCAGCTACCTGTGTCAGTACCAGTGTGTCAACGAACCTGGCAAGTTCTCGTGCATGTGCCCCCAGGGCTACCAAGTGATGAGAAGTAGAACATGCCAGGGTAAGCTCCTTATGTCCCCGTATCTGCTGTGATGGTGAACTTTACCCTTTGCTAGAGAGCCCAAGCTGGTGCATCTGTTCAGTGTTCCGTGAACCAGGAAGAGTAGGACTCTCCACCACGGACTTCCACTTGCATTGGTGCTCTTTCTTCTGTCCATCTTTAACTCACACAGAGGGCACTCCGTGGTCATGACTTTTCTCGATATTTAGAGCAATCATTTTTTTCTGGAAATACTAATCATTTAATAAAATATTGGCATCCCCTCTACATAGCCTACGTAATTACAACAATAGGCATAGCACAATCAAAACCAGAAAAGGCTTGGTTATTAAAATATCTCCCCATGACATTGAGCCTAGAGCCTAAGCTTTGTGTGTGTGTGCTAGGCAGACTTCAAATCAGCCTCAATTCTCTAAAGTGTTATTTATTATATGTTAGGAAATACTTGAGGTCCTAAGAAGATTGGCCAAATGTGTACCAGAAAGTGCTGAAGTTCTTTGGCGAATGTTGACCCAGATGAAGCTGATACCTTTGTATCTAGTTTCAAAATAAGAACACATGGTGATCGTTGCACCTCCACGCAGAGGGAAGAGGCGGTTTTCTGAGGGGCATGATTCCCGCTTTCTACTGCATGAATTCAGAGTCATTCAGAAAATATGCACCCGGAGACCCAATGCCCATCTGTAGACAATTGGACATCCCCTCACAGAGGGGACACAGGGAAGAGATGAGCCAGTCAGGGTGTAGCATAGCACCGATAGAACTCACAACTTTCCTGTATCTTCACCCCACTATCATGACCTCAATTCTACCTTACAAATCGGATTAGACCAGAGCATGCACACTGCTACAGATAAGAGTGCAACACAGGGAATCCAGGATAGATAAACCCTCAGGGCCAACTATGAGAGTAGAGATACCAGGAGGATTAGAGGACAGTGGGGTGAGAAAAGGGGAATCGATCACAAGGATCAGCCTAGAACCCCCTCCCAGGGGGATGAATAATGGGAAAGTGGGAGAGGGAAGATGGAGGATGATGTAAGATATGGAAATAATAATCTATAACTTATCAAGGGTTCAGGAGGGAGGGCGGGTGGGGGAGGGAAAGAGCAGAAATGGGGAGCTGATATCAGGGCCTCAAGTGGGAAGAGAATGCGTTGAAAATGATGATGGCAGCATATGTGCAAATGTGCTTGACACTGGATGAATGTATGGATTGTGATAAGAGCCCCCAATAAAAGTATTTTTTAAAGGAAGAAAATATGCACCCTCCCCCCACTGCTAAAGAACTTGTGTTTCAAATTGCGCTAACCCAGAGAAGAAGGCTTAGAAACGACCCCAAACATAGATGTGCATGGAAAAGCAAGTGCAGCGCGTACATTCACCTAAACAACAACAGAGTGACAGAAAGATTACTTCACTTCAAGACAAAGGCCTGTTTGAGACTTAGCTCTGCTGCACTGTCTCCTGTGAGCTTGAACAAACGGCCAAACTTCGCTAAGCCTCAGCTTTCTCATAAGAGGGACTTGAGGGACTGGAAGGGAACCCTAAAATGTACTGCCAGTTGATTCGCCTCAGACCCACAGTGGCCCCAGAGTCCAGGACAGAGCTGCCCCAGGGTTCCAAGGCTATCAGTCTCTGTGAAAGCACACAGCCACCGCTCAGTCCCACAGAACAACTAGTGGGTCTCAACAGCTGGCCTCTTGGTTAGCAGCCCAGTGAGTGCTCAGCCGCTGGGCCACCTGGGCCAGAATGGAGCACAATGTATAAAAAGAATGCACAGCTGCGAAACCTATACCACTGAAGATGTTATGAAATGAGTCCAGGAGTATAAAGGACTCTGGGTAGCAAAGCGTTTCTCTCGCTGCAATCCAGTCAGTGCTGACTCGTGGGTAGTGAGTTACCTGCTGGGCTGCTAACGCCAAGATCAACAGTTGGTCAGCTCTTCAAAACCACCAGACCCTCCATGGGAGACAGATGAGGCTTTCTACTCCCATAAAAATTTACAGCCTCAGGAATCCATGGAGTCAACCCTACTCTGTCCTAATCTGTCTGCTAGGGATTCTATGAGTAGGAGAATTCTTGCCTAGAGAGTTCCCTTACATCAGAATTGGAGAGGGTGGTTTAAAAAGAAAAAAACAACGCAAACACACATGTGCATAAAACACTCAATTGAGCATTTTAGCACTGTTAATGATCTCTGGAAAAGCTTTCATAGTAGTTAAGATACCGCTTGTGCAATGGCTGAAATCAATAATGGATTGTTACATTATTTTCTCCCTTTGCCACCGTTGGATTCCATATAACAAACTAGTCTTTAGCTAGTCTCCTAACTAAACAAACCTAGAAAACTATTGAAAGTCCAACTCCGTTGTGATTCCCGGAGAGGGTCTAAAGCCTTCTCTTTAGCTGCATCCAGGCCACAAGCAGAGCCTTCTTGTGTCTGAAGACTGGCAGCTGCATAACTTTCCCAATCTCCTCCTGGTCTCAGAACAACTTTAGCCATTTTATAGGCTGAAAGAAAATATTCTTCTCTAAAGGCAAAGTATGGAGTATTTCTCAGGGTATGCAATGCCAAAGATATCACTCCTAGCTGCGTGAGTTTGGGTCAGTCTTGAACTCTTACTACTTTTCCCTCCATGTCAACGGAGAGATTATCTTTCTCACCTATCTCCATGTGGTTGGTAAGAGGAGTGACTTAGTTCAACTTAATATTTCCTGAAAGCCACGGGCCCCCAATGCAGTATTGGTAGATGAGGAATGGGATAAACGGATGGGCGGTATAGCCCCAGGAACCCTGGTGGCCTAATGGGTTACGAGTCAGGAGTTCAAAACCACCAGCTGCTCCTCAGGTGAAAGATGAGGTTGTCTCTGCCAGTAAAGAGTTACAGTCTTGAAAACCCACAGAAGCAGTTAGACCCTGTTCTATAGTCAACCCCTGTTCTATAGAGTTGTAGCCTGGTCTGTAGTTAGACCCTGTTCTATAGAGTTGTAGCCTGTTCTGTAGAGCTGCTCTAAGTCAGAGTTGACTCAACATCACCATGTTTGGTTTGGAGTTTGATGATAACCCCTGCTTCAAGGAGTCTAAAAGCTAAGAGAAGGAATCAGACCAACACAAAAATTTGAATAAAGCAAAGCGAAAAGAGATAAACACCATTTATGAGGAGCACAGACATTTGAAAATTCAGAGAAGAGAAAAAGATCAGACCCCAGCATCTTGCTTTTGCCTGGATGACAGAAAGGGTTTTGTAAGGTATAAAAATAATCAATGAATGTAGGAAGTGATGGTTTTGGAAAGGGGTGTGTATATAAGGGGAGGGGGCTTCAAAAAGTTTGTTGGAAAAATAGAATGAAAATACTGTCGAATTTTTTTCTCCCACGAACTTTTGAAATCCACTCGTATGTAGAAATGACCATTCCAGTCTAAAGGGATCTGGAGGTAGCTAAACATGTGCATGGAGCCCCTGGGTGACACGAGCAGCAACATGCTCAGCTGCTAACGTGCACGTAGGTGCCTCTGAAGAAAGGCCTGGTGATCTGTTTCTGAAAACCCAGCCGCTGGAGACGCCGTAGAGCCCAGTTCTGCTCTGCACACAGGGAGCCACCGTGGTTGGAATCGACCAGATGGCAAGTGGTCATGGATGTAGCTATGAATACAGATTGCTGCTGCTATTGTTTCCAATGGCATGAGTTTCCCGGAAGACTGTTCTGGGAATTTTAATGTCCAAAGTCAAACCCAGTCCTTGTCCAAGCTGTTCTACCCATACTGCTCCTGCCCTGACTCTCAGCCCCTCTGCTTTCCTCGGTTGCGTCTCAGCACAAACAGCCCCTTTCTCAGCTCCTCTGCTCCTGCATGATGCTTACTCCGGCCAGGGCTTCATTCTTGTGCTGTCCCTCCCGGGACCAGCCCTCCACTCCCCAGGTGTCACTGCCACATGCATACAAAGGCTGACTGAAGAGGACCACATCTCGACCCTGGACCTCTCTTGTTCAACCTCCTGAGCGAGGCGATAAACTGCCTCCTCAGTACTTTATGCTTGCTGCTGTCTCCGCTTGGAAGACCCTCCCTGCTGCCCCCCAAGCCACGAAAACCCCATTTGTCCATTATCTGAACTTGAATGGAGATGCCTCCTCCCTCCCACGGCCTTCCCTAATCCTCCCAGATAGAATCCATCTAATCTGCCACCAATTCTCCAGGGAACTTAGCTACCTCTTTTATAAGCTTCTATTGCCATCTATGTAACCGAAAAACAAACCAGTTGCTGTCAAATGGATTCTGCCTCATGGCAACCGTGTGTGTGTGTGTGTGTGTAGATTTGTGCTCCGTAGACTTCCCAGTGGCTGATTTTTCCAAAGTAAGGCACCAGGCCTTTCTTCCAAGGTATCCTTCAACTTCCATTCAGTTAACAGCCTGTGCTACCCAGGGATGCCAACCACATCTATAGTCCCAACTAAACTGTAATCTCCATCCGGGCAGGCGCTGAAAGGCTTCACTTCTTTTAAGCTGGATCCATGGCTAGCATGTGGCTTTGTATTCAACACAAATGAATCATACACATGCCAGTAAAATGGAATGGAATGACATGTAATCTGTCCCAAACTTACTGTGATGACCTTGGGCCCCGCTCAGTCTTGTGTAAACCAAAATTAAGAATTAAGCGCAATCCATAGGCCCATGCACCCCGTCCTGGAAACCAGAAGCTGCCACCCCCTCACCCCCTTAGGTCGATGACCTGTTTGCCCTCCCTCTCGGCAGATATCAACGAGTGCGAAACCACAAACGAGTGCCGCGAGGATGAGATGTGTTGGAATTACCACGGCGGCTTCCGCTGCTACCCACGAAACCCGTGTCAAGATCCCTACATCCTAACATCAGAGAAGTAAGGACAAACCCCAAGCTTTTGAAAGTGAGGCTCTTGTGGCCATCGCCCCTCCAACCGTGTGCATGACTGCCTCTGTGTGTACCTGCAGCCGCTGCGTCTGCCCCGTGTCCAACGCGGTGTGCCGGGAGCTCCCGCAGTCCACGGTGTACAAGTACATGAGCATCCGCTCGGACAGGTCTGTGCCCTCGGACATCTTCCAGATCCAGGCCACCACGATTTATGCCAACACGATCAACACCTTCCGGATTAAGTCTGGGAACGAAAATGGGGAGTTCTACCTCAGGGTGAGTGTCCTCACAGCAGCCCCGGGTGGGGGTGCCCTTTATAGATGCGGGAACTTCACTTGGGGGCGAGAAGTTAGCAAGGAAAGGGTTTCTATACAAAGGGGCTTCAAAACGCTCAGGGGGAAATCCCCTTCTCTTGTCAAAAATTTGGTGTTGTGAACTTTCTGAAGCACCCTTGCTGTACCTGCCACCTGTGGTCACGCCTACCTGCTCTCGTCACCCCACAGATGGGCCCTCATCTCTCTCCATAATTTTGAGAAGAGGAAGGGGAGGCTTAGAGAGCTGCAGTTCGCTTACCCAGAGTCATACCAGTTCAAGCATGGCTCACTCTCACAGAGCTTACACTTACACACACACACACACACACACACACACACGGAGGTCCCACCGATCAGTAGTAGGTAGTTATTTGATTTGAAGTAGAAAAACGAATTGCCTGAGAGCTTTTCAAAACCCAGAAATTGCTGAGGGTTGCGTTTCCAAGAGCCCTCTCCCATTGCCTCAGCCAGAACGATAAGACCACGTCTTGGGGCAGTTCCCTCCTCCCTCGGCCCGTCTATCCGGGCAGCAGCTGTAAGATTCCTGCAAAGGTCCAGCC